ATGCAGCACACAACCCTGAAATCTAAGAAAAAGTCTGAGGAAGGCCATTAAATAGCAGCACACAACCCCGTGCCTTCCTCAGGAGTGAATATAACTACAACAACAACGACTACTACAACAACAACCCAAAAAGGTTGGTTACTGTCTATACTGTGATTACAATTCACACAATAGAGATTAGAAGTCGAAAACAATCGATAGCACTATCGGCACTATCGATGGTTTTAGACTATCGTATTGACCATCGATAGTTAAGAGAAAATGCAAGTGTCGAAACAAAATTTGGAAATGGTCGCTCATTAAAATCTTATTAGCTTTTGGTATGGTGTATGGGAAACAGCGATTTATGCGATGTTTTATTTTGTGGGCTGAAGAAATGGTTATACAATACGATCACTAATCAGGGACAAGAATAGCAACCATCTTGGATCGGCGCATTTAAAAGGATGCCAGCCACTGCCAACATAGTAAAAGGATGAGGTGCAGCAGATAGCCGTAAATCATGGTGCTGCAGTTGAAGCATAAAGCTCATAATTTTTCGATTTCATTGATACGCGGGTTGAAAGTAGGAAACTATTGTCTAGTATAATAACAATAATAATAGATTGGTTCTTACACATATTTTAGTGCTTGGCCGATCTTCTCCTCCGATTTGTTACTCAGCATTAAAGCTTCATTCGGAGACACCAGGATTCCAGGGGTCAATCTCAAATGACTTCCGTTAATCAATCACCAGAACTATTGCGTTGCTTGATAAAACATTTAAGATATTTCGTCGGCAATGAGTCTATGTACATATATTAGATTTCTGTAGACATGCGATACTCCCCCATTTCGCAATTGCCACCAGCTACACTATACAGTTGCAAGGACAAACTCACCATCTAAGCGGATAATTGTTGTCACCAGGGAGTGAGGAGGAAAAGTTTTTCAAATTTATTTCGTTATTCGATTAAACCGTGCTATGAAGCGCCAGATCATTGGGAGAAATTCCAGTAACTTCTTCGCGGACATAACACATTCGTTAGGTTATTTAAGGCGGTACATTTTGGCTGCGTTTCTTTATACATTCCGGATAATCACATTTCAGAGCCAGAATAAACAGAATGCGATTGAAATATATTTACGTTAACATACCATCAGGAAAGTTCTAAAGAATAAGTAAACAAAAAAGTTTATTCCAAACGTTCAGAATGAATAAAGAGATGCAGCCTTTATAATTCAATATAAAACTATCGCAGAATATCGATAGTCTAAAATAAAAAAATTTCAATTAAATGGTTTGTAAAAAAAAACTATCGCACACTATCGATGGTGCCTACTATCGATAGTTTCCGGCCTCTAATAGGGATTTCGAAAAAAACATCGATGCCTCGAAAATATCGATGTTTTTCTTCGATGCATCAGCTGCATTTTTTTTTTTTGTAAGCGAGCGACAAAAGAACGCTCAACTCGGTTAAAATTTCCTTTCAGCTACTTAAGCAACCCTGCTGGTAGCTGGCAAGAAACATGTGATTAGTTCATCGGTATTTAGACTCAAAAAACAATAGAAATTAGTTATTATGTGAGGTATTTGCGTAATATATATACTTATTTAAAATGTAAATCATGTATATAGGAAAATAAAAATTTCTCTACACTTTCCCATTAACAATTCACAATAGAGCAGTTTTTTCCACTTAACAACACTACTCTTCAGGTCGCGTATGTTTAAATCGACCTGGCTGAACCCGGATAAATAGCAGAGTTTGTGTTGTGGCTTTGCTTGTATTTCGTCATTTAAGCGAGTGTCCTTTTGTAGCTCGGTTGCAGAAGAATGGACCTATCGAAAATTTTCCACTCGATGTACAGTCACGGTCAGTATTTATCGACGGGATCCAAGTATCACGATATTTATTGACGGTGTAGCATGCAGTATTGATGTATCGTGATCCATATCGCAAAATTTAAAAAAAATTTGAAATCTGGTTCGCGGATCGCAATACTGTCAATAAATATTGAACGTGTAGCACTTTCAAAACGCGATCCATACATTTCGTCAGTACATCTTGTACTCTCATAATGCGAACATCGAAAACGTATTCGCTATGCCTTCGCTATCGGTGCTTAAAACCTTTCAAAACAAATTGAAATAATTTTAATTAACATTGACAATTTTAAAATAATTGTAGAATGCATTATCTGTAAATTATTCATACCAAATAAAAATAGTTTCTTGCGTCATATGACACATGGGCGTGCATTCTCTTTTCATCCAATCAAAAAACGCACTAGGGCAAAAGAGAAGGCACGCCCCTGCTGCGCACTTTCGCTGCAATTATAACGAGTTGTCCTTGTTATTTACGTTTTTTGTAGATACGACGATACTTGGGGTTTACACAAGTCAATTTTGAAGACACAATAGTAATACATTCACACCCTTTTACTTATATATTCACACTTCTCTCATTGTCTTCGTCACTGCCTACAAATTTTCAAATACCGTTTTTTGTCAAGACGCCTACTTTACTCAAACAATATGACAAATAATACGTATCATCAATTATCTTGTCTTGTATAAACGCAAGGTAATACCAAGGTTTATATATAAGAGGTTGCGCAATGCGCAGGTCCGCTATTCTTCTCGCAAAGTTTGGGCGACAACAACAGCGAAAACAACAAGCAGCGTAAAAAACATAAAATTGAAGTGAAGAGAAGCGATTTCAAACGAATTGTAACCGATTGCTTATTCAAAAATACATTTAAAGTTAATTTTAACCAAGTTTTTACTCATGCCTTCGTGGAGTTCGCTCCACTTTTTCACTTCCTCAAAGCAAGAGTCAAATAAATCTAATAGGAGTGTAAAATGTGCACCAAGTAAACAACCAACAATTATGTTAATTTTGAAATTGCTTGAATTTTTCGATAATTATACAACTTACTTCAAGTTTTTTTTACGTATTCAACAATAATAAATAAAAATAACTACTGCCTTCCTGAAAACCCAAATTTTGTAATTTAAAAAACTCACATTTATTAAAATATTGTCTAAATTTTATAACAAAGTTAATTAAACTCACTTATTACCGGTCAATTAAAAATGAAATCTTTAATTTTTTTCGGTTTGCAGTTGCGGATCTCGCCATTAGCGTTACTTTGATTAAACTAAATTTTGTTAAATAGTTAAATTTTTTATTTATTTTTTGTAAATGTTGTAAAAAGCGACGGTTAACAACGAAAACATTCAAATCGGTTCGGAGAAAAGCATAACATCAGTATATCCAGTATAAAAAAACCATGGTGAAGTCCTTTATGGAGATAAAGTTCCCAGAGGTGAAATTTTAGGTAGCACACAATTTCTTACACGCACGGTTGCTCTTCAGCACTGATGAAATAAACTTTAGAATTTATTAGAACAAACCCTGGGATTCAGTAATTCAGTCTCATCTCAAGTCACCAAATTTGAGATTAGCAATTAGTGACTATTTTGGTGACTTGAGATGATTTGGGGTATTCAAGAGNAAATACAATATATAAAAGTAATAATGGTCCTTGGTCTTATTCTACTCTTTCGATTCATATACTTTTAAAGGTATTTTAATGGTTTTATGTTATACCAGCAAAAATTCAAATGGCGAGTTTAATGAGAAGAAAAAAAGTTCGACTTTCACAAAGAACTTGAAAGTAGTTGTAGAATGAGTTTTTGTATATAGTAGAAGATCCGAATAGGGCACGACCATCAGCCTTCTGTTTAATGGATTAAATTTATTTTGTGAATTTGTAACGTGTGAGGAAATATTTCGGAAGTGAGTTGGCTGAAAAAGTCCTGGCCAGTATATTTTTGATTAAATATTCAAAAATTATTTTTTTTTTCTAATTTCGCACTCATTTGTTAAATGAACAAATTACATATATACTAATCGAAAGCAT